GACTGAGTAGGCAATTCGGGAGTAAAGTTCTCTCTCGACGTACAAAACCCACACTCTATAAGTCATTCATCATGCCCGAGCGGGTTTATGGCGCAGAAGCTTAGACAATGGCAAAATTCGATGAGGCGTTTCTTGGAGTATCCGAGAGAAAGATCTTACGAAAGATTTACAGGTCTCCCCGCCTTGGCGACGGGAAGTATCGCAGACGATGGAACGATGTGTTGTGTGAGCTTTACAACGAAATCTATGTCCATTTGAATGAAAATACAGCGGCACCGTTGGCTTGGACATGCCATTCGAATGGGAACCGACGTTCCAGGTCCAGCGCCAAAAAAGAAGAAAATGATATCTGGGACCTTATTCTTGGATGCGCCAGGAGGAACTAGGAAAACATTCCTTATCAGATTGATTCTGGGGACGGTTCGTTCAAAAAATTACATAAGCTTAGCTAGGGCTTCGCCTGGAATTTCTGCGACATTGGCCCCTATTATGAGTTGCATTCGATTTTCGATCTTCGCTGGCTATCGAAGATCGAAAGTAAAATTCGTATTATGAGCTATGTAAGCGTGTCGAAATTTTCGTTGAGTATCGAATTTTCTGTCGAACAGAATTTTGCTTTCGTTGGAGTAGCGAAATGTTAGAAAATTTTAAAAATGCATGATTTCGCATTTGTTTTCTTACTTTTTGGCGGCTAGACACTAATTTTAAACAATTTATATTAATTTCAAGAAGTTCTAATGTCGTGAATAGTAAACACAAGCTCGAAAGTCTGGTTTTACATATGAAAGAAAATCCCTATACGCTGTTGGCACGATCTCTGAAAACATAATCATGGAGCTGTTTATAGTTTTAATATATTTTAAATAGATTGGATCACACAATTTCTTAAATATATTGTATGTAAAAATATATTCGAAAGACTCCACTTAAACTCTCACGTTTTCTGCTCTTGGCCAGTTTTTTAAGCCCTCATCCTCTGACGAATCGTTCAACCAGAACTCCGTTGTGCTAATTAAAATTTTTTTACCACGCTTTTATAAACTCACTTTCTTTTTTATTTCATTTTAATTTGCACAAATTTACATATGTACATATATATAAGCACTCTATTTAGTTTGCTCGATCTGTAAACAAAGCTTCTCAGCGGTGAAAAATATACTATTGTGAACAACCTAAACGAGCGAAATTCACAATAGCGCTATTCTTCATCGAATGAGCGCCATAATACCAAATGAAAATTCGTTCGATTAGCACTTTCGACCACAGTCGAAGATGGAATGCAACTCATAATAGGGGCCATTGTTACCAGGTGAAAGAATTGCTAATTCAGAAATCCCACGCGCAATATTTCCAGAACATCCAGTATGGAAAGAGTATTACAAAAATTTAGACTCATTGTTTGGGATGAGTGTACCATGGCACACAAAAAATTGCTTGAGGTTTTTGATCGATTGTCGCAAGATTTGCATGGAAACG